TGAATACATCCCTTTACCTTAGACATATGTAACTTACAGAGATGTAGAAAGGGACAGGATCGGAAGTCCAGAGACCTGGATTTGTGTGGCCTTCTTTATCCACTAGATTCATTTGTGAGAATTTAAATGGTTCTAAGTAGATGAGTGTCCAACAGAGGAGGCACTCATGAATGTTAGTTACCTGTCTCTTAGTGTGTATCCCGTTGTTAAAAACTTGATCAGAGGCTGTCTGTGTACGTAGATACATAATACTTGCCTCAAGCATAGCCAGGATCCCTGTCCTTATGAAAAATCCTGTATTTCCATGGTCTGATTTTGAATGTAGACATGTAACTGTTAGCCCTGTTTTAAAAGAGGAAAACTTGAACTCCAGAAGATTAAGTAATTTGTTCGAGGTTTCCAGGTTAGTCAGTCAAGATTTCCATCCAGGTGTGTCTGGCTCTAGTTCTTTCAAGTGCAGTGGATGCTTTGTCTTGAAGGTCTGGGAAACTTCCCTTCAGTGCAGGTAGGTTTTAAAAAGTTACTTATGACCCTAGAAAACAGTTCTTCAGAAATTAAACATAAGGGTTAATTACTGAAGAAATGCAAGTTGAATTTCAGTTACCCAACTCTCAGACCTCCAAAAGATGATCTTTGTTAATATTTTGTTGTATGTCCTTTTTTCCTGACTTCTCTGCAAAAAATTAGCTTCTAAACTTTCCTCTGTCAATGGGACCATTACGTTCCCATAACCAGTTCTTGCTTTACAGATGATTATCTTACGAACAAAAAATTGCAGGTGATTAAAAAATTAAATGATTCTGTTCTGTGCATGTGCCATGACATTATTTAGGTTAATTCCCAGTTTTTGCTCTGTTAAAACAACCTATGCCCTGCAGTTAGAAAGGCATTTGAGATAGGGTAGAGTGTATGGCCGAGATCCTGGGCATACTCATGAAGTTCAATGAGTGTGTATGTACATGTGCTCGCTAGCAATGACAAGGTTCCTTTGGGTAAATTGGTGTGTAAACGAGTTTATATTTGTAAAACCCGACACATGGTACACATTTAATTCCAACAAATTCTTCAAAGCAGTAGTTTTTAGATCGAGGTATGTACTTTCTTGGAGATTTTGATATCTACTGGGCTGGAATATTGCCTAATGAGGAGTTAATGCTTGGCCTCTCCACTCATTCAGTCTGGGGGTAGGGTCCCATTCCCGGTTCTGTGATTAGGATCTTAACAGTGCCCACCTGTTGGATGAAGTGGGGAAGAGTATAGAAAGTGCTTAGCAAGGTTTCTGCTGGTGTGTTGCTAATTGTCCTCCCAAAAGAGTGCAAACTTACACTTGCAAGGAAGTGCAGGTAGTTTTGACTTGGAGTAAGGTCTTTACTTAAGGGATGATTGGTGTTTCCACTGTCTCTCATACGTGGTTTTAGGAAATGCAAAACTAATGATGCGTATACATTATGTCCGAAGGGACGATGTTTGGGTAACTACGAGGTGTGAACTGCTTTTTTCCGGTGGCACTGGGACCTCACAGGTTAATGACTGCTGTTCTTTTTTCCCTCTTAGTACATCCAGCAGTGGTAATTCGACAACGAAAGTCATACCGGAGAAAAGATGGCGTATTTCTTTATTTTGAAGATAACGCAGGGGTCATAGTAAATAATAAAGGAGAGATGAAAGGTAAGGAGGGCTCCTTGTTGTCCCTCAGGTCTTTAAGATTGCAGGATGACTTAGCTCTTGGGTCTAGGAATGTGAGCAAAGGACCCTCTAATCTTACCGATCACTTCGTTCTTTTTTTTTATGCAGGTTCTGCCATCACAGGACCAGTTGCAAAGGAGTGTGCAGACTTGTGGCCCAGGATTGCATCCAATGCTGGCAGCATTGCATGATTCTCCCATGTATTTGTAAGGGAAAAAACCATTAAAAGTTATGTGCTCCCAATGCTTGCCTTCCTTTTCATTTCCACATGTCACTCTTACTGACACTACCTAACCCTTGTCTCCTTTGTAAAATGAAACTACTCTGCGCACACTTTCTGTGGGCATGTGTAAAAAAGAGAAACACAGTCCTTGCACTTTTGTGAGTGTCCAGAACTTCTGGGACTTTCCATTTCTGCTATAAAAACTTCAGTTATTTGGGTTTGGAATCCTTAAAACAAATTGCAGGGAATGGATGCTGCTTAATGACAGGTAACTGCTCTGCTGTTAGGTATTTGAGATAAGGTAGAGTGTATGGTCAGATCCTGGACACACTCGTGGATTCAAAGAGTGATGTGAGGGGGACCAGGTACACGTGTGTATGTGCACACTTTTACAGTTAGTTTTCTTTGAGTAAATTGGTGTGTAAATGAGTTTATATTTGTAAAATCTAATGTGGTAATTGCCATGTAAATTTGCTCTCATGGAAGATGATTAAGTTGCTAATAGTATCTGCAGGTTTTTTGCTATCAAAATGTTGTGACAAGATGGCCATATAACGTATCTCACAAACCCTAGTTTGAGAATACTAAGAGATGATATAATTATGCCAGCACAACAGGTGTGAACCCTGGCAAATTCTGCCTTAAGAGATGAACATTGCAGCTTTTTTTCCCCAAACTGTAAGAGTGACATTCAGGGTCTGGGAAAAATGAGTACTCAGCTGGTTTGGGTCAATAGTCTGGTGTAAAGATGTTAGAACAGGCTTTTTAGACTAAAGTTTGTGTTCATATGTCTAGTATCTGAAAATACTCGGCCTTCAGTGTTATCTGTAAGTTGAGTATAATGCAAGGCTGAAGATTAGAGTGTACACGAAGACCAGCACATAGTTGCTTGGTGAGATGAGTTCTTTTTGTCCTTCAGGGTTTGGAATGGAATATACCAGAACTAGAGAGCAGAGTGCTTCTCAACCTGAGGAGTTAAATGTGTTCAGGCTATTGTTGGTGCCTCTAGTCACTTCTGACTTCTAGTCACCCTGTGTACAGCAGAGTTGAACCCTGTCTGGTCTTTTTTGCACCCTTTTCTCACTTGCTGGTGCTGTATCAGACTGCTATTCATAGGGTTTTCATGGCTAGTTTTTTCTTTCACAAGTGTGTGGCCAGGTCTTGCCTCGTCTTGGTCTGTAACCTCTGTTGAAACCTGTCCACCCTGCTGGTATTTGAAATACCAGTGGCATAACAGAATCGCAGAAACATGAGCTATCACAGAATGACAGCTGGCAGGAAGGTTCCTTGACCTGGAAAGGAACCTGGGTTGTGGTGGTGGTGAGAGTGCTGAATCTTTTTTTTTTTTTTTTTTTTTTGCTGAGGAAGATTCATCCTGAGGTAACATCTGTTGCCAATCTAGTTTTTATATGGGTCACCACCACAGCATGACTGTCAAGTGGTATAGTCCACACCTGGGCTCTGAACCCATGAACCCATGCTGCCCAAGTGGAGCTGCAGGGCCGGCCCCAAGAGTGCCAAATCTTAACCACTAGACCACCAGGCCATGTCCCAGACCAATTAAGTCAGACTATGGAGGTAGGACCCAGGCATCTGCACTTTTTAAAACTCCCCAGGAGATTCCAAGTTGCAGCCAAGATTGAGAATTGATGCTGTCTAGACAGCCAACCTAGGTTTTAAGAATATTAAAGAAATCCAGAAGTTTCTAAAACAGAGCTGTCTTCCTTTACCCCACCATCCAGCCTGGTAAGTTTCAAGTCTTTAATGTGACAAGAAGCTCCCAGGCCCTCCATAAAAATGAATCCTTTTTATCCTGTTGTTTGACAGATGTGTGTGAAATTTCTCACCTTCCTACTTCAAATGTGAAATGTTAGGGCTGGGCCTGTCATTTTTCCCCTTTACTTGTCTTCTTATATCCTCCAGGTTCTTTCCAAGGTTCAACAGAATGGACTCAAGCTGTAGACTTATTTCCTGTCATTTCAGATTTGATTTATAGGCGCTTGTCATAGAGTAGAACGATTAAGCATGCTGAGTATTTAATTACTAGGATGAGTGATTTTTGTGTATGGATATAATGCAAACTTTTTCTAATGTGCCTTCATATAATAAAAATATTGATAGTGAATATAAAAGAATCCTTCCCTGAGCCTGTGGCCTCATCTGTGAAGGAGGGTAACAGCACCTGAGAGTTGGTTTGAGGAACAGAGGAGTTTGTATAAGGCGCTTTGATATGGCGGCCCAGGTTCAGTTCCCTGGCACAGACCCACACGTCTGTCAGTAGCCATGCTGTGGCAGTGGCTCACATAGGAGGACTAGAACGACTTACAACTAGAATATACAGCTAAGTACTGGGGCTTCGGAGAGGGGAAAAAAAAGAGGAAGACGGGCAATAGATGTTAGGGCGAATCTTTCCCAGGAAAAAAAGTTTATTACTCAAGGGGAAAATTTGGGAAGTAGAAAGTATAAAGAATTAAAAATCACCTGTAGTCACAACAGAGAAAATCGTTGCTCTTATCTTACTGTATATACATAAAATTAGAAAAATATAGTAATGTTTCAACCTACTGTTTTTTTTTAAAAGAAAAATTTAAATTTTTTAACAGAAAGAGGAATACTAGCTGATGAAAAGAATGGGCAGGGGAGAGTGTTCTAAATGGACTTCCTAGAGGTCGGGAGACCTGAATTCTGGTTCTGCATCTGCCACTAAATGGATTTAGGAAATACTCCATTTCTGAGCTTCAACTTCCAGTTCTGTTGGAAGTAGAGCTATCTGAACTCTTCCTGATCCATTCTGGGGACAAGCTTGTCAAGGAAACCGCGTTAGGGAAATGTATATAATATGGTGGGAGCAGAGAACCTTGCTCTTCAATGAAAACGGGGAGCTGGGCCCGATTGCCCTCACACGACCCCCCATCAGTAATGCCCTCCTCTCCAGCCCTTCAATTTCTGATTCCTCTTGCATAGTTTCCTCCTGGTCAGGCCTCCCCTCAGGGCTACGCAAGCTCCTTCCCCCATAGCCCTGAGAACCTACCCCACAATAGTGTTTGTGTCACAGTGGTCGTTGACACCACGTAACAATGCGCAGGGGAGCCCCCGCCTAGGACCCTGCACTCCCACCAGGAAGGCCCTCAGAGGCTGCAGCTGTTGGGATGGCGCACTGCTGTGATTGTCCTCTGCGGCTGGAGAAGAGTTTCATCTTGGATGGGGTGGCCGTGAGCACCATGGCCCGCACCTATGAGCGCTTGAGGCCCAAGCTCTGGTCGGCGATTCCGCCCTACAACGCACAGCAGGACCACCACGCCCGCCGGTATTTCCAGAGCCACGTGGTTCCGCCCGTTTTGCGGAAAACTGAGCAGGTACAGGAGCGCCCCAAAGGACCCCAATGTCTATGCCCGCGGAGGTGGGCCCGGGTGGCAGGGCTGACTTCCCAAATCCGGGCGTCTCACTCCAGCGCCCTCGCCACCAAGGATGCCCCCCACTCCCACCCCTTCAGTTTTCTTAATGAAAACTCGGAACTGGAGAAAGTGGATGACAGGTGTTGAGCGCCAGATCACTGAGCTCACAGGATCGCCTTCCACCCCTGAACGGGAGAATGATCTCATTTTGAGTTTCTGCAAGCCTTCCGAACCGGGCTTAAAACCCGCCTCTCCTGGGGCCGGTCTGGTGGCCGAGTGGTTAAGTCCGCGCGCTCCACTTCAGCGGCCCACGGTTTCGCCGGTTTGGATCCTGGGCGCGGACGTGGCACCACTCATTGGGCCATGCTGAGGCGGCATCCCACATGCCACAACTAGAAGGACCCACAACTAAAAACATATATATATACAACTATGTACTGGGGGGCTTTGGGGAGGAAAAGGAAAAATAAAAAATCTTAAAAAAAAAAATAACCCGCCTCTCCCATACAAATCAGTTTCATTGTTCTTTTTGACGTCATGGCCCCGCCCTTTGGGGTGATCTCCCGCCGCAAATTCTCTGAGAGCGCGAAAATCCGTGTGACGTCAGTGAATAAGACACAGAGAACTGCCTAGACGCGCAGGAGCGGCACTTTCTGTCTGGTGACGTCATAGAGGGGCTCGCTCTGGACCTGTGAGCTGATGCGAAGGAAACCTGCAAAACTCCTTGGGCCCTGCCTTCTCCCCAGGCCTTTTCCCTCGTGGGTACTTCCCCGGAATCAGAGATTCTGAGGCTATTTGCTGATGGCTTCAATTTTTTCCCAACAATTTTGCCTCCGATATTTGTACCTATGTATGTCAGAGTGGTATGAGAAGGGGAGAGAAGGGCTTAATGGAGGTTATTCTGTGAGCAAACCTTGGGTTTTTTTGTGGTCCCAGATGTTTGTATGTGTGTGTGCATTACATGCATATGGACACCCTTCAGTGTGTGCCATGCTTGAGTGTGTACTTGCTGTCTACTCAAGTAACTTTTATGACAGAAGGAGCCAGAGTCTGGGGGGAAAAAGAGAGAAACTCAAGGATTTAAAAACTTGAAGGCTGGGGCCGGCTGGTGGCACAGCGGTTAAGTGTGCACGTTCAGCTTTGACGCCTGGGGTTCCCCGGGTTTGGATCCCAGGTGCAGACATGGCACCGCTTGGCAAGCCATGCTGGGGTGGCGTCCCACATGTCACGACCAGGAGGACCCACAACTAGAATACACAACTGTGTACTGGGGGGACTTTGGGGAGAAGAAGGAAAATTTTTTTTAAAAAAGCTTTGAAAATAATATGGTGTACACACTTTTGAAACTTTCTATGTTCCATTTTATAAGTATTCAATCATCACAACCACCATTTGTGGTAGGTATTGCTTTCATTCAAATATAATGTGTTTATTAAACTTTTACTAGGCCGGGTCATTTGTTTGAACTATCTCAGTTAAATCTCACAGCAACCCTCCTTTTACTGATGAGGAAATTGAGATCCAGAAAAGCTGCGTCATTGGCCCAAGGTCACACAGCTTGTTAGTGGCAGAGCTGGGATTGGAACGAGTCTGTCTGGCTGCAGACACTGGGGCCTTAACTGCCAAGCTCCGCTGCCTGTCCCTGAGAGGCAGTAGGTCCATGTGTACATTTATATTTAATCTGTCTGGCCCGGTTACACCTGGCTGTGACCACCTCGCCCTCCCCTCAGCAAGCCCCAGGGGAGCTAGCGCCGTGCACCTCTCAGCATCACGGCTGACAGTCCTCTGTATTTTCTCCCTCACTCTCAGGATCACTGCGGCACAGGAAGAGACGGCTGGATAGTGGATTATTTCCACATCTTCGGGCAAGGACAGAGATACCTCAACAGGAGAAACTGGGCAGGGGCAGGCAAGTGCCATCTTGCTTTCCAGCCTCACCATGGTCCCACCTAGGAAGAATGGAGTGTGTCCCTAAGTTCAGAGAGAGAAACTGGGCCATAAAGAGACCTGGTTGGGGGAAGAGGATCAAGGACTGCATCCTCCAGCTTTTCTTCTCATACATGAGCAGATGGTGTCACAAGGCTACCTATGTTTAGTTATTGAGCACCTACTGTATGGCAGGTGCTTTTTACCATCACGCTATCCCCATGTTACAGCCGGGGAAACTGAGGTTTGGGGGGTAAAAGTCATTTGCTAAGAAGGGCTGAGCTGGGATTGGAATTCCACTCTTGCCAGCTCTGAAGCCTGTGTTCCTCTCATTGCTCCCTGAGCAGGCTGTGTCCTGCTCGTTTTCCCGGCGCAATTTACCAGAACAAGAAAGAGTTGAGAGATGTTGTTCTGACGGGGTGAACCCTCCTCCCACTCCAATTCCACCACCCTTTGGCCATGGTCTAGTCACATGACCCTTTGTAACACTGAGCCAAATTGAGCTCATCAGTTTTCTCCAGATGGGTCAAAGTCAAGGGTGAAGTATTCCCAGTTCTCCTGGGAGCAAGGCAAGTTCAGGCAAGCCCAAGTTTCTGGCCCCTCCTGTCCTAACACATACCATTCACACTCCTGCAAGCTATTCCTGGTATGAGATTTGGTTTCTAGAAGCCATCTGTCTCCTTGACTTCACCAACCCTTGGCATTTCAGTCAAGAGGCTCGAGATATTTGAGGATTGAGGCTTCTGCTGGGACGTGGGGAGCGTGGTGACTGTGGCTGGGTTGGCATCCTATACCAACCCTCTGGGAGTGGGGAAAGCAAGAGGGGGCTGAATGCAGGCTCAGGCCTCTCCGTCCGCCCCCAAGGGCATTCCCTCCAGCAGGTGACGGGGCATGACCACTACAATGCTGATCTGAAAGTGATCCAGGGGTTCAATGGCCGGTTTGGCTATCGCCGGAACACCCCAGCCCTCCGCCAGCGCCCGTCTGTCTTTGGAGAGGTCACCCAGTTCCCTCTCTTCTAACAGCATCTCTTCCCTTCACAATTCTCCACCTGAATATCTAAGACAGACGTTTAGATGAGCTCTCAATGTTTCTTTATATAAAATATTTTTTACTTGTGCCTCCAAGTGTGCTGTTTCTTCCCTGAGGCTGAGGGAGGGAGCAAGGCGGTTTCTCCAGCCTCAGCTTCCCTACCGTACGGAGAGGAGGTGAGAAGAGAAGGGGTGTCTCAGGCCTGTGCCCTCACACTCTGTGCCAACCAGTGCCAGCTTGAAAGGAGAGGACTCAGTTCCCCCCTGCCAGTATGATAAGGGGGACCCATGCTACCTAGTCCTCAGCAAAGCTCTTCCTCAGGCATGAGCAGGGCCCCAGGTCAGAAGCTGGCTACTGTTTCCATCGAGAACAGAGCAGGCAGTGCAGCCACAGGGATTGGTGTTTGCCCTGAGAAGGATTTCCTGATTTTCCTGAGAGAGTCATCCCATCCAAAAGGACTGACATCTTCCTTCTCCTTTTCCCCTTCAGTTCATCAGGAGGCAGGGTGTAAGCAAGGTGCTATCTGGGGGTAGTGCTTCTTAAAGAAGCCCAAGGGTTCTGACACAGTGATACTGTGCTTGTGGACGCTTTCTCTATGAGTGCTGTGTCAGTTTCCTTTTCAGCTATTTTCCAGGATGTCATTTGTCAAGTGCCCCCACCCAGTTTATTGGTGACCAGGAGAAAAGCCAAAGCAGATGGTGGATACAAAAGAAGGTGGGGTTTTAGGACACAAAGCTTGTCAGAGCTCTAGTGTGGGTGGAACCTGATTGTATTGAGTCACCATAAGTGGACAAAGAAGAAAACCACAGCAGGCTGTGGGGGTATAGCTCAGGGGTAGAGCATTTGACTGCAGATCAAGAGGTCCCCGGTTCAAATCCGGGTGCCCCCTTCTCCTTTTCTTTTAAGTAAATACCTCTTAACTCCCAGCCACAGAGTTACTAGAGAAGAGGAAAGTCTCTCAACTCCTTGTCCTCAAATGCTACTAGTTACTCCTACATTCCAAAGGAGCGTTTAGGAGAGACCCCTGGAGGAGCCTGCTGGTGTAGGACAGTAAAGATAAAGGCGTTCATGCACCTTGTATTTCTGAGAGCTTATTACATGCAAGGCTGAGGTGAGTTAAAAGATGAAAGATGGACCGTGTCCTTGGACTTTTCAGTCTAGTGGAAGTTGACACACTCACACACACCTGTCAGAGGAAAAGCATTTGTTTGAGGCTCAAGAGAGAGATATCCTGGGTCAGCCCCGTGCCCGAGTGGTTAAGTTCACGTGCTCTGCTTTGGCAGCCCAGGGTTTCTCCAGTTCGGATCCTGGGCACGGACATGGCATCGCTCATCCGGCCAGGCTGAGGTGGTGTCACACTTAGCACAACCAGAGGGACCTACAACTATGTGCTGGGGGGCTTTGAGGAGAAGAGGATTAAAAAAGAGAGGTATCTTTTAAAAATACCTATCTATTGAGCCAGCCCTGATGGCCTAGCGGTGGAAGTTCTGCGCACTCTGCTTTGGTGGACCAGGCCAGTTTCCGGCGTGGAACCACACCACTCATCTGTCAATAGCCATGCTGTGGTGGTGGCTCACATAGAAGAATTTAGGACTATATACAAGTATGTACTGGGGCTTTGGGGGAGTAAGAGGAAGAAAAAAGGAGAAAGATTGGCAACAGATGTTAGATTAGGGAGACCCTTCCCAGTAGAAAAAAAAAAGAAACCTACCTACTTTTCCTAGACAGTTTCTAACCAAAGCTTTCCTATAATTTAAAGGGATTTTCTGCCGGATCTGAAGAGTATTATTGACCAGTTGTTTGCGACACTGTGCAATTTCCTCTCTGCAGGGTTAGGGGCCCTTTCTTCATAGTTGTTTATTGTGCGGGTCAGAGTTCTTAGAATGGGACAGATATCCACGCTGGCCACTTGAAGCAGTAAAGGAGTCTACTAGAGGCATGGTGAAGACTCACAGAGTTGATGGAAGGTTGGAGAACCTAACTCAGAAAGCGATTAACTATGAGGGGAGGGGGAGGAGGGAAATCCAGCTCAGGTCTTGTCCCTGGAAGTGTCTGCTGCTGGTGCCACCAACCCTGGGCACTCATTCCTACCCTGTAAGTATTGTTCCAGCTGCACCTGCCTCTTCAGAGCATTTCCTCAAGTTTCAAAATGCCAAGCGGAAGCATTTGATTGGCTGAACCATGATGTGATGCATGTGCCATTTCCCGCCAGGAAGGGGAGGAGATAATGTTGCCTCACCAAGTTTGACAACACAAGTTATTCCCCCAGAATTGGAGGTGCGTTTGGGTGCAAAAATGGATATATCACTACTGCACCTTTTGTTCCTCCTGGAAGAAACTTTTGTAAGGAGAGAGCGTGATAATTTATCGGTTTCCAATTTTAGCGGTCAAGGATTTGCTCTCTCTCACCCTTTTATTTTCCATTTGCTAAAATTATTGAGGTAAAAATTTTGTATGTCAATTAAGTTCACATTATCGTGATCATGTAAATATGATTTACTATTGAGTCTATGTATACTGTGATAGCATTTCCTTTTTTTTTTTTTTTTTTTTTTTTGAGGAAGATTAGCCCTGAGCTAACCGCTGCACCACTGGGCCGGCCCCAAACATTTCCTTTCTTGAAAACTTTTTTCCCTAAAGATAGTTACCTCATTTTTTCATTTGTGTATTTTTCTTTGTGTCTGTGGATAATTACTTTCAAATCCTTAAACAGCCTCACAGTGTGATTATTCACCTGGTCCAAACCTATCAAGTTAATTTTTTCAGGACAGTCTTCCTGACACCCGTCATCCTTCTGCTTCAGGCTGTTTAGACCTGCCCCCCAGCTGGTGCCTTGGGAATTTCATTCGCCCCTGTCCTCTGTGTGGGATTCTCTCTGTTTGCTGGGAAATGTCTTCCTTTTTCTTGCTTTTCTTCTTTATATGGTGGAGAATAACCCCTAGGAGCTTCCTGAGAAAGAATAGATGGGAGGTAAAATGTTTGAGTTCTGGCATGTCTGAAAATATTATTTTACCTGAACCCTTGAGAGAGAGTTTGTCTGGGAATAGAATTCTTGCTGAGAAATATTTTTCAGAGGTTGGCAAATCATTATCTCCTAGATTCTCTTGATAAATTTAATGTCATTCTTTTTCCTGTACGTGACCTGTTTCTCTCTGTAAAATTTTAGGATCTTTGTTTCTGATGTTCTCAAGTTTTTGACTGATGTACTTGGTGATCCCTTTCAATCTGAGATTCAAATCCTAAGTCTTATTTTATTTTTTTTTTGAAAAGCCCCCCAGCTTTTTTTTTAGGAAAATTAGCCCTGAGCTAACATCTGCTGCCAATCCTCCCCTTTTTGCTGAGGAAGACTGGCCCTGAGCTAACATCCATGCCCATCTTCCTCTACTTTATACGTGGGACGCCTACCACAGCATGGCTTGCCATGAAGTGCCATGTCCGCACCCGGGATCCGAACCAGCAAACCCCAGGCCGCCAAAGCGGAACATGTGCACTTAACCACTGCACCACCGGGCTGGCCCCTTGTAGCTGTTTTATATGTATTCAATATTTACTTAAATTTATTTGAAAAAAAATTTTTAAGAAAATCAGTGCTTTGGAAAACAGTCTAGCAGTTCCTCAAAAGGTTAAACAGCTACCAGATGACCCAGCAATCCACCCCTAGGTACATACTCGAGAAATATAAAGATAACATCTGTACAAAAGCTTGTACATGAATGTTCACAGCAGCGTTATTTATAATCGCCAAAACGTGGAAACAACCCAAATGTCCATCAGCCTATGAGTGGATAAATCAAAAGTGTTACATGCATACAATGGAGGAGTATTTAGCCATAAAAAGGAATGCAATATTGATACATGCTACAACGTGGATGAAGCTTGAAAAATAGTATGCTAAGAGAAAGAAGCCAGTCACAAAAGACCCCGTGTTGTGTGGTTCCATTTATGTGAAATGTCTAGAATAGGTCAATAGATAGAGACAAAAAGTACATCAGTGGTTGCCTAGAGATGGGGAGGTTGGGAGGAAATTGGGAGTGACTGCTAATGGGTATGGAGTTTCATTTTGGGGTGATGAAAATGTTCTAAAATTGATTATGGTAATGGTTGCACAACTCTGTGAGTATCCTAAAAGCCATTGAATTGTGCAGGATTACATCCATAAATTATATCAATAAAGCTGTTATTAAAAAAATCACTATCAATTGCCGTAAATAGAATGGAGAGTCAAATGCAATATTATTAAACACTAACTAGCTATTTATGTCTGCTTTCTCTGATTGTAAAAAGAGAGGGTTCAAAAGTGTTAGAGAGCCGACACCAAATAAAACTTTTCCCTTAAGTTACTCAGGAATGAAAAAGATTGAAAAGGGAATAATTTTTTCACCTGTGGTTCAGTGTTTCTCCTGACGTGTTTGTGAGCTGCTGTCAAACTGCGCACACCTGCAGTTCCCATCCGACACTCGGGGCAAACGGAGGCGCAGTCCTTGAAGCCGGAGCACGGCACCGGGAGAATGGCATGTGCTCTCTCCATTTAAGCAATTCTTATTAAGTGGCATAAAACCATTTCAGATATCAATTTTGTACATTGTCTGACAACAAACAAGCCTCTAAAACTGATGTCAATTCGGTTTAAGTAGTCTCTTAGAAACAGAGGGGATAGTTTCTGGGAAGAACACTGCATTGAAGTGGGGACTAGCTGCCTTGTGGTGAAACACTCCACCACAGAGTTCTCAGCGCCCCCAGCCTGTTCGGTTGCCATTCCCCACTATTAGACGTTCCTCAGTTCATTTGTGACCTGTTCTCACCTTCTGAACATTGTAGCTAGGGCACTGTGAGAGCAAAAGGAAGGGAAATGAGAATAGCAAGCCCCTTCTTCCGCACTTCAATGATTAATTTGTGCTAGATAACTTGCAAGAGTTTCAGCTGACCGTTCTCAAAAACTTCCTCAGTAACATCAGGTAGAATTGGATCCCAAACCACCAGGGTTCCTATTAGGAACGAAGGAGACTATTAGGGAACAAAAAAGATTGATTGATTCCATGAGAAACAGTAGGACTTGAGGTTGGGACTCTTGCTGTGTGATAAAAGGTT